TCCCGTAACTATAGTTCTATTAGCGCTCATTACTGTTCGCTAATTGTTATTTATTGTAATTAGCTGATTAGGCAAAAATATTCTTTCGAAAACTAGTTTTCTCTTTTTTGGTTTATGCGCAAAAAGACTAGCTATCATGTATACCTAAGTTATGTCAAAGACAAAAAGTTACATTTCATTCTATAACATTTTTTTTTAACAATACGACTTTGTGCATGATAGAAAAAAAAGTAGTGCCTTTTTCTGTATTTTACCATGCTTTCAGTTGTTTTCAGTTGTTGGTAGGCAAGTATATCGAACTCTATGAAAAATAGGGAAATAGTTCTTTAATCGAATTGACAAATTCGTTGCTGACAACATTTGATGATAATTTTTACTATAATAATAATAACAACAACAACAACAACTGGAACAACAATAACAGCAACATCAACAACGACGACGACGACGATGATGATGATGACGACGATGATGATGATGACGATGATGATGATGATGAAGATGATGATAGTTTTTCTCAAAACTAAACTAACTTTTATATGTCCGAGTAATACAAATGTTGTTGTAGTTAAAGCTTAATGAGGGTCCATCAGCCCTTTCGGGCACAAAATACAGCTTTCGCTTTCGAGTACGGACCCCGGACATGTCACCAGTCATGCCCTTAAAGAGTTAATTTTGAAGCACAAAGTGGTGATAATTTACCTCCATGCAATTTCAACGGAGTATTAGCCAAAGATATGAATTTTGAGCCAAAAGTAGGTCACTGTACGGCGGTCAATGAGAACCTAAATGTACAGTAACCTGTGACAATAGGAAAGGTTAGCCCTGAAAAGGGCTGTTGGTGCCAGCAAAAGGCCTGCCGTTCAAGCCGTCTAATCGTGCTAGGGGCTACCTACCCAAGCGCCTACTTTGTAGGGCCACTCCCCTCGGCATTAGTCAGGACACAGGCAGCTAACTTCATGAAGTCTATCTAGGTCGTGTCGCCTTAAACGTTACCCCGAGTAGAAGAAAACATGCGAATTTGCCGCCTTAAACGTACACAATCCTTCAATCATCTGCCGATGCCCTGTGCCTTCTCAGCGACGTGCACGCTCCGAGGGGAAGTGAGAAGAGTAATACAAATGCTAAGTAAAAAGTCCTTTTATACTCATGTCCCATACGATACAACTTTAACAGTTTAAAACTCATCGTGAGATGCACTGGTATAATATCTTGCTGAGTAGGAAGAAAAGAAAGCAGTAACATGCATTTTTTCACCACTGGTAGCTATAAATTAGACCCAGCGGGACGGCGGTAAAAGACCGTTTAACTGTTAGATTTAACAACCCATCAACTGCCGTGATATATACAGATGTTCATGGTCCACTGACACGCTGACAAATTGCTACAAGGTTCTTGCTGATTTACAATTTTCTTCCGCGGTATTGCTGAAACATGGAATAACCCTACTCTGACATTTTCTTTCCCCGTAAGCAAGCATGTTTCTACACATTTTTAGGACTTTTTTGCCTCCTGAGTGAAGTTTATGCCTATTCTAATAGGCATGGACATTTTATTTGATTTTAAACGCCATTGATACTCCACAGCGTACGCGCTTTTGAAAAAAAAGTCAAAATGTATTTCATCAACTTCATGCGCATAGTAATTATTATTACTAAAGCAATATGTCTTTGTATATGCGTAATTATTGTCAATAAAGGCTAGAGGTAAAGTAGAATGTATTTGTACTTACAATTATTTATAACATATTTCATGCAATTTGAAAAAAAAAACCACTATATTTGTTGGAATGAAATCGGCTTACATGTAAATTAATTTGTATTTAAAGATGATCATGTAGTATTAGATAGATAGTTTATTGACTTGGGCCATGTTACAGAAATTAAATTTGCATATCGAATCGAAATTCATTTTCAACTTATAGGTTCTTGAGTACAAGATGCAGTTAAAGACGCCAAAATACTAAGCCAATGAAATTGAGGCTACGCAAATGTTTCACAGAAAAGATGATCAACTTTGGAAAATCGCAAACTGAAGTCTACTGTATAGCACCAGAAAAGTATTGAGTAGGTACTTACTTGTTAGTGTTTAGGTTTGGTGTCAAAGTATTTATAAATTCATCATTATTTTTTGTGTTCTAGATGTACCAAGTTGCTGCAGATCATCGATGCCTCGTCCACATATTATGATTGATGAATAGAACAGCACGAGCTTTTTAGTATACAATTTTGATTTGAAAATAATAATAAAAAAACCCAAACATTTAGGCATAAAATAAAATAATATATGAATACAGTAAAAGCTTATTTCTTTAAAATAAACTAGAAAATTCGTTATGTCTGTTCCCTGATGGATATTAATGGGTGTCACGTGCGTCGCCTACTTTTAGAACGTTTTAGATAAGTGATAATTTCAAACATCGTTTCCTGCTTTTCACACAAGTTGTAAATGTGTTAAACACCAATTATTTGATCTATAAAACATAATCCAACAATACAATTCATCGACCCCCAGCCTAGAACGTAAATTCTACAAAACACGGAAAAAGAATCGAAAATCACTAATTACAAATTTCTGTTAACTAACTTCCAACTTCTGAAAGTCTAATTACTGATAAGCCTTGTTCAATCAGTGTCACAAGGTGCTTTCATTAGCATCACAATCAAAGAAACGCTCATGTGAATCTTAGAGTTTCGTAAAAATATTTTGTTTTCAGAATCCGTGAAATTGGTACGCTCACGTGCAACTTTTCCGAGCTGTTTGATTCATTCCGACAAAACTCACACCAAGAATAACACGTTTATTACTTGTAGTAGAGGGTGTTAAAGATTTAATTAAAAGTGTTTTTTTTGCTCACCCTATTTCTTAACTCCTTATACATAGATATTAAACCTTTCATATCAAGTCTGTTGTTTCTTAATCCAAGGTCCTATATTCAGTGGTTTCTACTTCATGTATTATGTACCTTTATTTTGGAACTTATAATGCTTACAAGAAGTTGTCTTTTAAAATTTTAAGCACCCTGACCATTCCCCCGGTAAAATGATTATGATAGTTATAAGGTACCATCAAATAAGATATAGAGAAAATTTATTGGCTAATTTTTGAACGATGGTCAGACGAATGCGTCAGACAAATATCCTAAAACAATGAAGAAAACGTTCGTAACGCTTTTTAAAAATGGTTGAACATTGACAGAACTACGGTTGTTCTTAATTAACACATTGTTTAGTCCATATTTAGGAAATATGAAGGAAATAAAGATTAAGGTATTGTTATTTTTCCTTGAATGCCAAACTGTATAAAATAAGGCGATAGAATGTATCGAAAACATTATGGATATAAGAAAGGTTCTGGCGAGAATTACGTTGATTAGAATTAACATGTTCTGTAATACCCACCAAACTGATAATAAGACAATTTCAAATATTTGTTGTCCTATATTTTATTAGCAATTTCAATGAGCCCAAATGTGAAATATGAAGCAAAGGTGGTTTGCAAGAAAAGACCATTTGATCCGTGTCATGACAAAACCAACATAATGGGTTTGCGACCAGCATGGATCCAGGCCAGCCTGCGCATCCGCGCAGTCTGATCAGGATCTATGCTGTTCGCTATCAGTTTCTCTACTTGTTATAGGGTTTGTAAGCGAACAGCATGGATCCTGATCAGACTGCGTGGATGCGCAGGCTGGTCTGGATCCATGCTGGTCGCAAACCCATTATGTTGGTTTTGTCATGACGCGGCTCATTTCATTATAAAGATGCGCCATTTGTGCGGTTTTGTTAGCAGAACTTAAGCTGTACAGTTAGTTCATTCAGAAATGAACGAAAGAGTTTGCAGACCTTGAAAATTAAATTTCTGTTGGTTTTTACATTTCTTTCTACAAATGACATGCCATTCTTTTTATTACCACGAGAAGTTTTCAACTTGCATTTGTTCTTTAGCAAATAGTGGTAATTTCCTCTAAATTTAAAAGGATGCTCAGAACTTGTACAAAGCGAACATTCTTTGCGACTCGGGGAAATATTGAAAACACAAAAAATGTTAATAATATATTCTATATAAACACCTGTTAGTGCTTTCACAGTATATCGGAAGATTATATAAGAAATGTAAATAAATTGTGGAGGAGTTAGGTATAGCTTCTGGACCATATGGTGAAAAAGAATACACCTTTTTGTTTATTAGGAAATATCTTTATTACAAATCACATATGTTTGGAGATTTGCGCGTGCATTCTTTTTTTAATCAGCGCGAAAATCTGACATTATGAGAAAATTAGATTGGAATGTTTTTCTTATGATGTTTAAATGTCTTTTGACGCATCGACAAAACGTTTATGGCGTTCAGCAGTTGTTTGGTGTGTTGCAGAAACATTTATCACGTTCGACGGTCGTTTGACGTCGTACACGTAATTGTAACAAACGCCGACGGTTTAATGACGTAATTAATGAATTAACTGATTAAAATATCATACTATTTCTTTTATATTCTTGTGAAATTTTTCAATTGTCCCTTTTCTTTTTTAATAGTGTATGTCCCTTTCCTTTTTTAGTAGTGTATATTTTTTGCTCAAACATACATTTCTTATTTCTTATATGTTACGTACACCAGCTTACAATGCTATTGCGAGCATGTTTGATAATGCTTATCAGTAAAAGATAAGATCTGGTTATCAACATAGATTTCGAGCACTCGGATCAATGGAATTATTATCTTAATGGGCGGTGCACATAAAATACACGCCCCGCCCTAAAGTAAAAAAATAATAAAATAAAAATAAAAACAACCAAACAGTAACTAGTGATCAATCAGCAATATTTTATTGATATAAATATTCTATAATATAATTAATTTAATACAGACAAACATGTTCATATTCCATAAGCGTTACGAACGCTATATAATATATCGACTTGTAGCCTAGAGAGAACTACTGATTTTAAGAAGTAAAATGTTAGTGAAAGGCACAGTATAAAGTACTGATAATTATAAATTGTTTAACATACTTCTGTTGTATATAAATACACATCATCGCACAAAATAAAAAAGCCTGAAAAAGATTAATCATTAAATAATTATATAAATAGTAAATAACAAGATTTTCGACAATCTATTTATATATATCTACCAAATAAAATAAAAGAAAAGCACAAAGAAAAAAAGAAAGAAAGAAAGAAATAGTTTTTTTTAAACATTAGTTTATAAAAGGCATCCTACTTATGCTATCTTTATAAAGGTTTATTGCAGGTTTTACCGTTTGTAACGTATGTAATCCTCGCCTCACGGCTCAGGTTTGCATAAAGCCAATGTTAATATTTACTACCTCTCAAAAATCTTTATAGCAAAATTAAGATACAGCACTATTTCTTTATGTTACAAAAAAAAAGAACAAACGTTATAATGAATATCCAATGAAAATTCACGTTACAAACGTGCAGTTTTATATCATTTTAAATTAATTTATATGCTTATAAAAATTAAAAGAATGAAAATGTAATAACACAAGGAACATTTCTGCAACGCATTTTTTAAAACACAAAACCACGTACTTTAGCATAAGTAACATTTCTTTATTACCTTAAACTGGTATGATTAGTTTGTTTTGTTTTACGGCGCACCAACTCAATTTAGGCCACATTACGCCGAAACAGGACATTAAATTTTGGTTTACCTCGGGTGTTACAAACTAAAAGCAACACCGGGGATCAAAACCACCTTACCTGCTGGAGGTAAGAGTTGCATAGGCTTTCCTTGATCGTGTAAGTTAACACATGTGTTTGAGAAAATTCTAGACATTTTACACTTCTAGATAAATGAATAGGTTAAATTGGTATAAATATCCAAATTTGGCACAGACAAAAAATGGCACACCTAACGTTTTTAAAAGTCCATGTGCAAACCAACAACTCGTGTTATTTTAAAGTACATTTGTATATCTCTCACTCCAAGAATATAACAGTTCTAAAGTCCTAGTAGCATTTGTTTTTGGTATTTATAACCCTTTTCTGAATCATCTGAAATATAAAGAAAACATGAGATGCATTAAAAAGGAGAACAATTATACTGTTCCGAATGTCAAGAAAGGCAATTTACTGTTCCGAGTTTAAAGTTTGCAAACTTATTTTTTTTCCAATTAAAAGTTGTTTAAATTAACTGTTTCAAATGAAAAGTTGTGCAAATTAACTGTTTCGAATTAAATGTTGTACAAATTAACTTGTTTCGAATTAAATGTTGTGCAAATAAACTGATTCGAATTAAGTTGAGCACATTAACTGTTTCGAATATGTAAAGTAGTACACGTTAACATGATCCGTATTTAAAAAGTTGCAAATTAACTGTTTCGAATTAAAAGTTGTGCAATTTAAATGTTTCGAATCTACAGCATATTTAGTAACTGTTACAAATTTGAAGTAGATATGTATTTAAAGAATTGCAAATTAAAAAGTTCCGAATTTAAAGTTGTGCACATAAACTGTTTCTAATTAAAAGTTGTGCAAATTAACTGTTTCAAATCTAAAGTAGTGCACATTAGATATTCAAAATTTAAAGTAGATGCGGATTTAAAGAAGTGCACATTAACTGTTCCAAATTTAAAGTTTTGCAAATTTATTGTTCCAAATTTAAAGTAGAGCAAATTAGCTGTTCCAAATTTATGTAACATAACATAAATTTTGATTGGCATTAAATGGAACATACATACTTATAGTCACAGTCTCAATTGCTCATAATAGTGGAAAGTTCCTGATTCAATTTTGTAGAAATTAAAACTGTTTCTGATTTAATGTATTGCATATTAACAGTTTCGAATTAAAAGTTATGCAAATAGAATGTACCGAATTTAAAGAAGAACAAATTTACTGTTCCATAGTTAAAGGAGTGCAAATTAACTGTTGTGCAAATTAACTGTAGTGTAAATTTATTGTTCCAAATCTAAAGTAATGCAAATTCACCGTTCAGAATATATTGTAATGTAAGTTCACTGCTCAGAATCTCAAGAAGTGCAATCTGACTGTTCCAAATTTAAAGTACTGCAAATTAACTGTTTCGATAAAATACTACAAATTAACTATTCCAAATTTTCAACTCCAATTTTCCTATTTCATTCTTAAACCAGTAAACTTTATAATGTACAGACCAGACAAAATATTTATAATGAACTGTCCCAAATTTAAAGGGTATTCTGATATATAATGGTGAAATGGTTTGATAAAACCTGTGACATTATTTGTAAGATGTGATTTTGCAATGATTAAACATACCTGTCGGACCAATATGCATAGTGGACTGGATTAAAGGGTTCACTCTGTTGCCGGCAGGAGAACGTCAGCGGTGCCGTCGGCGGGACGGAAGAATAATCACCTAGCTGGGAATAATGGCTGCCTGAGTTTGTACCGAGTTGGAAACCTAAAGGTAAGATAAAGTCTAAATACAATGTCGAAGATAAAAGTTGCATTGAAAATCTATCAAATTTTGAAATAAGAAATAAATAGCATATTAAGACTAGATTTGACAATCAAGAAATACACTAGTGGTTACCTTAAAATTATAAAACACATAAATGATTGATAAAACAGACAAAAGACAGACGGGACCATATAATTCTAAGCACATTATTCATTTCTTTCGTGTTTTCTTGGCAGTTTTGCTATGTCTGCTCTGGACGTCGCTTTTCGGCTTCAACGTTATTATTTTTTGACGTGTTTTTTTTTATTTCATAGCATGGTATCTCAGTAATATTTGAAGTAAAACATGTAAAATGTTGTTCTATGATTTCTCTGATAGATAAAAGGCATTTTTATCATTCATAAAAACATAACCAAAATGCATAGACTTTTTGTATAATCATACTCGTATAAAATATATATTGGTTATTTCATATATGTTTTGCTATATGGTGTACTTCGACAAAAACATTCTCATTATTTTCTTTATTTTTAATTTTTTTGTAAAATGTATTTTTTTTAGATAAAACAATATTTTCTTTTATCTGTAGGTGCGTTGTGTTGATCTTTTAAGGTATGAAATCAACCGTTTTATACTTGTTAATAATTTATTGAAATTTAAAATTATTTTCAGGCCAATTTCAGTTGCAATTTCTAAATATTTGTCTTTCAAAGTCATTCAGTTGTAGATAACTTGTTTGTCCTCACTAACTCACAAGACGTTTTATACGCTTGCGTAGAAGTTGTAAAAATTATGTATATATTGTTTTCTACATAGATTCAAAAGGTATTGAAAATGAGCACACCATAATTGCTCCCCTATACACTGTAACTCTGCCACTCCTTTTTTGGCATTGCATATGTGTGTATAAAAGTTTAATTGAAATAAAATACTGTTGAAAAATATGCCGTATCTTAGAGAGGCCAGTGTTACTGAAAATTTTTACAGCTGATTATTGTCATTCGAGCAATAATAACTCGGCGATCCAGACACTTGTTCTATCAGATATTAATAATTATGAATGAAATATTGTTGTTTTTTTTTAAATTGTGATTGTTATATTAAAGATCGGTCTTATGACCTTTTTTATGTTTTTGTTCAAATGTATCTATCATTCAGACTGTTCTATATTGTCTGGTCTGGATCCATGCTGGTCGCAAACGCACTATGTTGGTTTTGTCATGGCGCGGCTCATAAATGGTGAAATTACTTATCAAACGGTGCTATTGCATCAGGTCGACAATTACTTTACAGGTCGACATTACTACGAGCTTTCGAATACCTGTACACACATTGAATTAATTCATTTTGCAAATTTGTGTAGAATTGGCTGTAAACGGGTTCACAACAACGACAGGGCAACTTAATGTCCTTTTAATGCGAAATTGCGATCTGAAAATATCATATTTTTGTACACTTGTATTTGTAATATTTGTAATTTTCAGTCTGCTATGGCGCTGTGTATGTTTAGTAGAATAAAATACTATCATTTTGTACTGTTATTTATTTTTAGCAGCATTGCGGTGCAGTTTGGAATTCTTGTTAACCAAAACAAAAAAGCCAACACCAATTGCCAACATCAGTTTTATAGATTAGGGGTTGGCATTGGTATCATAGACTAGTTTTGAGGTGACATAGGCTAACTTTGATGTAAATTAGTTAATTGCACAGGCAAAAGACTGGACCAAATCGTTCGTAGCATTGTTTGCCTTACAAAACTTGTAAATTCGATACAAAATAAATAAAATTATTGAATAAACAAATACTAGTATATGATAAATTCTGTACACCATTAAAAAAATAATCTGGACGTTCTACTTCTTGTTATTTCTTTTACGCAGATTGCATTTAGAAATCAAAATTTATATATGTGTGTCAAAAGATGCCGAATATGTTATGTATTGAGAAGGAAACAATTCTTTATTCAGAACTGTGGTATAATTTGAAGAAATAGAATTAAAATAGAATAGAATAAAGTTACGTCAATGTTATTAATTTACCACAGCAATGGTAATTTTAATGTACTGTAACATCCTGAATACATGTTTATACAAAATTAAATTTGCATTGATTAACTTAGGAAGAAAGTATTATGAAAAGAATAGGAAGACAACTGTTTGCCCTATGTTCAAATATTGAATTTACTCATATAATGATAGAATGCATTATCATGTAATTATTCATTATTAACAATACTATTATATTTCTAAGGAAAACTAAACTGAAATATGTTGTCGGGTGGACAAAAGTTATTAGAAAATGATACATTAACTAAAAGATCATTATTACATAACCATCTTTCTATCTATTTCTTTTTGAATAGATGATAATTGATTCTGATAACGATAATTATAATGAGATGCAATTTTGATAATTGCAAAAGCATTCACCATTATCATTATGTTTGTATGTTTGTATTGTTTGTATATATCAATATGCTGTGCCACTCACTGTGTACGACGAAATAAACGGTCTGTTCTGTTCATTATTACCGGGATAGAAAACACATTCGTGACAACCTTTTAAGATGAATATCTCAAAATATACTTTATTTCTATGTTCTCTTAAAATCATTATTTCACTTATAAACTCTCGAGGATCTTTCAGCATCAGGGCGTTTAGCCACACAAAAACAGAAACAATGCAGTATCCCTTGTAATAAGAAATCCTACGAAAGTTCACCTTTTATTCGAAATTATTTAACCTCAGAACAGAATATTCATTAAATATATATATCTAACTAACCTGTTTGTATAGACCCGTATCCGCATGAGCCGAGTGACGACCCGGTGTGAGGCATTCTTGAACTCTGTCCGCATGAGTTGTAGTTCATATTCATTGAAGTTGGCCCCGGGGTCGGGCTATGTCCAGGCAGGGACCATGAATGATACGCCGAATACTGAGAATAAGGCGGTGGAGAAAAGTAGTTCTTGGCAAAAGAAAATTGTCCAAAGGCACAATGAGCAGGGTCACCGAAGAAAGACTTTGTCAGAGCAATCGCCGGGCGGTATGGTCTTTTCATTCGTCGGCGTCGGCGGTAATTTCCTTTTTCGAACATGTCCTCAAAGGCTGGATCAAGGGTCCAATAATTTCCCTTTCTTTCTCCGCCACCTTCCCTTGGCACTTTAACGAAACACTCGTTTAAGCTAAGATTATGACGTATACTATTTTGCCAGCCCTTTTTATTTTTCTCGTAATAAGGGAACTTGTTTGTTATAAACTGGTAGATTCCGCTTAACGTCAGTCGTTTCTCGCCGGACTCTTTTATTGCCATGGCAATCAACGCGACGTAGGAATACGGTGGTTTTACGTTTGGGTCTTGATCTTTATTCCGCGCATCCGCTAAAAATAGAAACCATAACAACAACTAACTATACAATGAGACTGAAATAAATAGATTAATAAATAAATTAGAAATTCGATACATTTAAAATAAAGAAAAAAAATAAGGGCATTATCAAAACTGTGAATAAAACCTTGACAAAAACAATTTTGTTGTAGAATGAAATAAATATAATAATCTTGAAATATTATTACATGTCACTATACATGCTATAGCTCGCTTTTATTAAGTGTTGAAATAATAAGAAAATCAACAAGCAATATTCTTATATATCACTAAAGTTTGCTTGAGATAAAGTGTTGAAATAATAAAAAAAATCATATACGATTTAAATCGTTGTGTTTCTTTCATCACGTTTGATGTGTGATTCAATGAATATGATCTTATTATTTGACGTATAGTTTCACATTAAAGACTTTATTTAGATTGAACAAAATTATTAACAGTTTAAAGCAGATAATATAATTAAACCTTTGTACAAACCCATTCATTATTAAAAGGAAATAAATAAGTTAACATTCTGTTTTTTAGTTTCAACATTATTTAGAAATTACACCGAGGTTCAAAAAACCTATAAAAAACATTTGAAAATCTTACGAAGATAAACTGGGGACACTTAAAATCGGAATTTAGTGGGATTTTTGGCCCGATTGAGTGAAAAGCGTTGAAAGTTAGTTGGTCAAGAATGGAAGGTCTGTAACACTATCCTTGATTGTGTTTTTAATAATTAGTATCATAGTTGACTGATAAAAAACACTAAATAATTATATATGTGTGCGGTTTGTCAGTGTGAGATACATGATCTAATTTGGCATAAATATATAAAGCAACTAATAAATTATTCTAGAACACAATATTATTATTAAGCATAGAAATGTTCATACAGAATCACTTTAAACTCAACATTCAACATTATTTTTTACGAAATGTTTCATAGTAATTAAGTATATTGAAAAGATACATTTCATTAGTATTATTTATCAAGATTTGAAATACTTCTGAAAAATGTGCCATCGTAGACCAATCTAGTTTCACTGGCACTGGTGTCATAATTATGAGGAAACATTGTCGTAACCCCGATATAAATCTAAAAGCAACCATTTTCGGGTTAAGAAGCAGAAGTTGAGAACCATTAACCACCAGGCCACCGCCCCCACCCCATCCCCGATTTAGCTGTTGAATACTTTTGATATATATAAAAATCAACATATATTCTCGTGTTAGAAGAAAGGCCAGTCATCAAATCACCACATGCCCCATATGCGTCACATATCTTTATCTGGATTGATTTTAAATATTTTAGAATGACACATTGCAGTTTTCGAAATTTAGAAATCATATAGTCAGCTTTTGAAGTTTAGAATGACACATCCCGGATCATACATACACTTTGTGGTAGTGAGTAATTTGTGAATTCATCAAAACTGATTCACCGGTATGCAGGGAGTGATTCCAGTTTATGTCCACCTAAACGTTCTGATTTAAAATTCGAGTGTACAATTCAAGGTTATATACGCATACATATAGGCTTAAATAATATGTACAATGTACTATACGGTAATCTGTACTGATTCTTTATTAGAACGCCAATGCAAATTAAAATAAATATTAAAGGATCAAAATTCGAATTTGATATCATTAAAAGTTGAAATAATAAACAATCATGTCAATGCACTTTATAAGATAGATCTCATTTTATTTTACTGAAAATCATTGGAAAACTCCGCCTGTATTATATGTTTATTTTCAATTACAAGACGACGAAATACAAGAAATTTCATCAAATGTTCCATATGCTTAAATGCTTTAAGTATAAAAACGACGATAAAGTGCTTTTCTTATACACTTATTTCTAAAATGTGCGTTTTCAAAGACTTTTTTTAAAGTTAAATTTTTATATCTCGTAATACTTTTGTTGTTGATGATACTACATGAATAAAGAACCCCTGCTCAAGTTTCCTCATAAAAGAGTTTAATAAAAAGAACATGGATGAAATGCATGTGTATAGAAATTTATTCATTTACATGGACACAAATAATAAATTATTTACATGTATAAGAGTTACTGATGATTTTCTTGTCATATTACATGCACATTATATCATATGTATTGCAATGAACATATCGTATGTTTATGCTGAATGAAATCTTGAATCTTGACAATAACCCGTGAATTGTGTGATACTGTACACACGTGCATTTTAATTCTCATTTAATGTTCTTTTCTTTTCTGCTTTTATATTATTGACGGTAATGCAGAACTATTTGTACTTTCATATAATAATTTTTGATATCATAACTTTCATTTAATAACGTTGATATGCCAACTCATTCAATGAACTAGTGTTTTGTAAAACCTGTATTCGAACTCACACTAAAATATGAAATTCAGCAATCATTTAAGATCGATGTTTGAAAGAAAATACAAAAAAAAAGATACAGTTGAATAAATATCATTGATTTGAATAACCAAAACTTTTTCTTCCGCACACCAACGCACGCTTTTTTCTCACACATTTTCCTAGTAGAATTTTAAATACAGTTTTATTTATACTGAAAACTATAAACAGCTATTCACTTAAAGTAACATGAACATGAAGTATAGCGAAATAATCTATCTAAAAGTATTTAAAAGTAATTATCAATATTAATGAACAAGTCTTAGTTATTAACTGTCTAGTTTGCCTAACTGATAATATTATTTTGGCAGATCAATTTCCTTGTTCTCCGATAGTTTTAATTAAATTTTTAAATTCAATGATATTATCCCAAAATAAAAATGTGTATGTTTCTATTTATTTAAAAATTATGTTATTTAGCGATCTTGTGTAATACATGTATTTATCTATAAGCATGAATGTGTTTTCAACAAACAACTACTGGCATTTTTTATTTCATACGCAGTGAAGTTTCTAGTATTAATACACGTAGGTTTTGTATCAATATGTATATTTGTTACTAAAAACACTAGTACATGTACATATATGCTGTTCAACATTGAAGATCTATATTTAGGGATGTAGTAACGTTATTCGTGTATCTCGTATAACGTATTTTCGGGTTTTTACATTTTATAACTTTCAATGCGTTCTTTTTTTAAAAAAAAACAAAGAAGAAAATAAATCATAAAAAATATTAATGCACTTTTAATCTGTTTTCCGAGTCTAATGAAAGAATATCAAAATATTTACTCTTTTTCTTATTAGTTTACACAAATAACAACATACAAAAGTGAAATAAAATAATTAATTCCATGATATAAGCTTTTTGGCCATGAAGAATCTATATATCCTCAGACTTTGGGAAAAAAAGATTTGTTCATTTTTTAAAATTTGATGTTAAGAACAGAAAAGAAGCGGGCATTGTTTTCCACAGAAAATGCCACAGTGCATTTTATAATTTCAGTTGTGTTAGAAAAAATAAAATTTGTTAACTCCTTATTTAATCTAATAGGAGTCAATCTGTAACTGCACTACCGTCATTTCATATCGTTCTAAAACGAGATTTTCTTTCATTCAGCAAACTGCCAATGCTTTTATACGGTTTTTGCTAAAGAAAATTAAGAATAAAATAAATGAAATTGTTAAAGAATGAATAGAAACACAAAATATTCAAAGTATCTACAACAATAAGGCTTACAGTCATTCAAGAAAAATAAAAAAGAATATTTTATTTTTGAAGAAGCACTTCTAAAATTATACCGTTTTTCTTTTTGTCACTAAGGCCGTTGACTTTCAGAGTTTCCCTAACTCCACCCGACGAGTCTGGAGACATTTTCTCAAGTTTCACTATATAGTTCGTCTCCTCCATTTCACTCCGTTTGTCGTCTGCAGCTGTCATTTTGTCGTTCATACAATAAGTTCCACGTGAAGGGACAGCGTTCTCTACCCGCGCTTTTGAATCAGACGAATAATGTGTTGAATTACTTTCAATATCGTCACATACTTCATCTTCAAGTTTATTTTCACTTTCGTTAAAGTCTTCTGCAATGTCGTCTGCAAAATTATCCGATAGCACGTGCCTTACGGTGCTATATCCGTATTTCGGAAAATGAATCGAGTTCTGCAAATTTGGAAGTTCACACGTAGTGTTTTTTTCCGCATCGGAATTGTAATAACTTCCTAATGAAAACTTTGGATCATTTAATGGGTACCTTCCAGAAGTAAAATCCATTTTTCACGAAAAAAAGAGTAATGAGTGTTGTCAAACATAAAATATGGATGTTTTGAAATGGTACATGAAATGTAACACTGTTAATAAACATATGCGAAGCTCATTTACTGGCATTATGAAGTTAACAGTCAAAGCAAACCGTGTTTGTTTTAAAAACAGACCTGCCTTAGGAGGTGCTACGAAACCCCATCCATGTTTTTGATTCGCTACGAACGCTGAAACCATAATAAAGAGCACGCGCTGAAACCTTTCAACGGCCAATCAGATGTAGCGGTTACTCAAACGTGCTGGCCTCTATCAACAGTTTATATATTGCCGTTGATTGACGGGAATGTACAGTGCCAATTACAACTGTGATATTCTGTTGGCATATTAGCTCTCGTTTTGTTATTGAAATCTCGCTGATTATCGTTGCTCCCCTACTATTAATGTTATTGTTACACCTAAATAACATTATGTATAGTGAAAGATTGACTATATTTGCAGGGAGCAAGTTCTATACAGTACACGCTCCCTGTGTCATAAATACGGAAAACACCTTGTTGACAGAAATTAGCATTGACTTTCATACGGTATTTAGTATAAGATATTATATCTTTTTTAGTAAACCATTTCTACAGTTACAAAAAATCCGAATACAATGGGAATATTTTCCAAAAAAAAAAAAAAATGTTTCAAATGTTGAAAACATCAAAAGAAATGTATCATATTGATATTCTTTAAAATAGTTCTTGGAAAAAAGTGATTCAGTAGGAAAATTTAATTTATAATAATATTTTGTTAAAAACAATTTATTACCTGCTATACAAATGAAATATCGGAGCATTGATTTCCCACTTACAAAATTATTTCACGTTTTGTTGTTACATAATTATGATACTAAATACTATCAACATGGTAATATGAGTATAATTCCTCAAACATTTCCATTTAAGTTTGCATATACATGTATTGAAACAGGCTATTTCTTTTAAATATTTCGATGACCTCTCATTATAATTCTGAAATATTTGATTATAATGAAAATATTGTCTGAGATTTGTTTTAACATGAGAGACTGTAAAATTCTTTTTCGAGGTTTGTGTTCCATACGATATAGGTCTGAACGGACACTTTTGTACAAATATTTTAGATTATTCCCCCTTTCCGTTCTTTTCCAGCATAATTATTTGTTTTGCGAAATGATCCAAAAACGAAGAAAACAACAACAACAACAAAAACAACAACAACAAAACAACAACAACAAAAAGCAAACAAACAAATAAACAAAAAAAACACACACTTAAAAATCACATGAATAACACTTTTAACCTAGCACAAAGAAATTGATTTTTAAATAATCCTGATAATATATCTTATTATCATTGCATACTTTGCCATTCTAAATGCACCACTAAGACTTAAAAAACAAGACCAATGCCAAATTTGTGATAAATCTATGTTGTATGTTATACACATAAATTTCAGTAGAATGGAAAGAACTAGTGTTTGAAAATCAGCTAAACAAAGGTGCTTTATATCATGAACCCGCAGATTGGAGATCGGGGCGTCCGTGGCCGTTGACTTTTGACCACTTGCCCTTCATTCCTGTGGGTCCAAACAGAGACTTTGGATTCTTCGTGCAATGGATAATGCCCTGTTTCAACCTGATGACTCGAAAATATCAAATGTAAAACTGGTATACCGCCCTGCTAACACTTCATTAAAACTTCAGCATCTTCACCAGGGAATTATTCAAGACATGAAGCCGATCTACAGGGAGAGATTGCTAAGATCAATGCTGGCCAAATTTGACAATATATCTACTGTGAGGGTTTGAAGAGGTGAAGGAGGTTTAACTGTCTTGGATGTAATTCGATGGACTAGTTGTGCAATCAAAAAATCTGTCTGTCACTGGTTAAAAGGCCTGTGAACTGATAATCAGTGTAAATGTTGACAAAGAAGAAGAAGAAGATGATGATGATGGTGATGTTGACAAAGGTGACTGTGATGATGATGATGATTATGATGATGATAATGATGATGATTATTATGATGATGATAATGATGATGATGATGGTGATGATAATGATGGTGGTGGTGGTAATGATGATGATGATAATGATGATGATGATAATGATAATGATGATGATGATGATGGTGGTGGTGGTGATGATGATGATGATGATGATGACGACGACGACTATGTTCCCATTGCAGAATTAGTCGAACTGATGAGGATCGCTTAGTCTAAAATACGTGTTGAATCTGTGATGACACTGGAGGAATACATAATCATTGACAATGAGTGTAAAGCAAATGATGAAATCGATGAGAAATGGATGAAGCTCATAAAATTGCGGGATGTATAGTTGAGGATAATGATGGTAGAACTGATGACATGGAATCTGCTACTGAGCGTGTTATTAATTCTCACTAGAATGTCCTTAAGGACGTTTTCGGGAGTTTTTATATAGACATAGAAGCTGCAGTTAAAGAATTCTATTGAATAGTTTTAATTTCGCCTATATGTCTACATGAACACTCACGTAATTGTCTTGAAGTGGATTGCGCAGTGCTTCAATATAAATTGAAGGACTTTATGATTGTGTTGCCAGCATTTCATCTAGGACAAGAGGACTTTGTAAAAAAAAATTGTCAGTCAATGTTATTTGTGTATCAAAACAACAGTCAACTTTGGATAGTGTTTTTTTTTATTGCACAGTGAAAATTTAAAGGCCCATTATGCCCTACAAATGCTTTCATTTCATTTCTCAATAACTTTTTTTGCTGTCCAGTTATAGTTTCCAGACAGTTACTAATTGGCCGAATTGCTGAACCATCTATTGCGTCTGCTGTATTTTGGTAATCAGTACAATTGTAGTGTTTCAGTATTTTGTATGGAACTCAAAATACTTCGATTCTTTGTTTACATTTTGCTACTTTAGTGACAAATAATTTTATATACAGCATTCCTTCCTTCAGGTGATTAACAAATAACATGCTCTAGAATAATTAAGGAAAAGTCATAAAACTAAAATTTGCCATTTTAAAAAGATATTCCTCGTTTCTGAGGAATAATGTGCCTTTAAATATTTCTAAGAACAATAAGAGTTTGCTTTGGAACACGGAAAAACTGCTACTTTCATGCACTTGATTTATGATATATATTTCAATTTTAAATGTGACCAACTTCGTATTTTAACACGTTTTTGTCTTTTACAAGAAATGACAAAAGATAAGCCATGCGTACATGCATTATGTTATCAAAAATTATTAATTGATTTACTATATAAATGAATATTTCCTTAAATTAATGTAACCCTATCCATTTCCCTCCAATAAGGTAGGTCTTTAATCTAGCTTGCATAAGAATTTAAACAAGTTGGACATGCAATTGTGCTTAAACTCGCAAATCAGACCATCCTACAATTAAGACCACTTTATTTAAAGCATTCCAGTGGGTGATGTAAATTGAAGTTTATTGAACATATTTTAGTATCCTCATATTACATTTAGAAAAAACAGACAGAATACATATTCTGGAAACTTAGGAAAACTATAACTGGACACCAAAAAAAAAAAAATTGAGAAATAAAATAAAAAACATTTCTAGGGCATAATGGGCCTTTAAAATTTCACTTTACAAAAAAACTATCACTGGACACCAAAAAAAAAAAAAAAAAAAAAAAAAAAATAAATAAAATAAAATAAAAAATAAGAAATAAAATAAAAACATTTTCACTTTACAAAAAAAACCTTTCCAAAGCACGTTACAAGGATACACGAAATAGTAACCATATCCATATGTATTAAAAAAAAAAAAAAAAAAAAAACAAACAAAGAATACTCAAAAAATAAAAAATAAAACAAAAAAAGCCCCCAACAAATAAGTAAGTATAAAAGTACATAAAACTGCATTCAATGACGTAATGTTACATGACAAATGAAATATAAGTATACATGTTTCCTGTTGTAACATTGATGGAAGATGTGATCTATCGTATGAGTGCTCAATCAATGATTTCAGAAGTTTTCCATGTTATTAACTTTTATAGGGGAGACAACTATGTTCGAACTTCATATTTCCTTGTCGTGTACGAGTTGTCTTCGTACTGTATTTACATGTAATACAAGATTTGATGTTTTCTTTCTAATACTTTCTTTATGTTACTTTGTTGTTGAGTTTCGTTTTTCTTGTTAAAATGAAATACAAATGTTTGCGTTTGTATGAATAAATGAATGAATGAATGTACGTACGTACGAAAGAACAAACGAACGAACGAACGAAAGAACGAACGAACGAACGAACGAACGAACGAATGAATGAATCGTATTTGAAAATCTTTGTCACTTTGTGTCACTAGGTTGATTTTTGCGAGTCGTTGGTAATAAAAGATATGAAAGTGACATATAAAACAAGACAGGTTGAAAAAAAAAAGAAGTAGAAAAAGTGTCAATGATATGAATATCTTGAGGCATTGGAATGTAATACCGCATCTTCACTTAGACTGAGTTGTTGATGTAGATTGTTCATTCATAATTTCGACTTAGGTTAACGTCTTTCTGATATTTATAATTTTGATATTTGAAACACCTTATTTCAGTTTGAGTTATTTTATGTGAAACATTTTTTTTCCAAAAAGTTTAAGTTGATAGATGGTAATAATGAAATACGGTACAAATGTAGATTTATTATATATATATACTCAGGATTTTCGGTGTGAGGTGTGGGGGATTGTGGTTGACAGTATTATTGCAATTTTGATTTTACTATTAGCAATAAATAGGGAGATCATCACTGTTGTCTTGTACACAAACAAACTGCCGAATGACATCTCATTTAAACATTTAAAATTTACGCTGTTTGCAAATTTCAAGTAATAAAATTCGCCTGCACTTTCAGGAGAGATAACTTTTCTTGATTTGTCCACAGTTAAATAATAGTTACTTCCCTTATCCAAAAGCGAAAAGCAATCGTTGCTTCTCTCGGGATGTCTTCTTTTTTGCAGGTGTGAAAGATTTGTTTAATTGTTCAAGGTTAGGGGAAGTAAGATTTTTTTTTTAATATAATGTTAAATATCACTGCTTTTTTTCTATGAAAAAAAAAAAAAGAAAGAGATTTAGTCAAATCTTGCGTGTCTACAGGCAACGTTATA